TTACATTTGTTTTAAACTTCGGTTTGTAACGGTGAGTTTGATGGCCTATAACTCAAGAACGGGTTAGGCAACCAACAAATGGTAAACAACACTAAGCTTGCGATGAAGCAAAAATTAATATTAGGTACTTTTTAAAACTTCCAAAGAAAAATTTTCATTGTTGAACAAAACCCTAATCTTTTTTCATTTGCCTCTAATGACTTTTGGGACCAAATCTTTTTCACATTTTTATTTTTCAAAATAAACTTCAAGTCATTGCAAATCGACATGCAAAAAATTAGAAAGGTGTTCTTTCTATAAGTTCTTTATTTTCCCGCAAACAAAATGGGTTTCGGAGGGGTTGATACGACCCCAGCACGCGTTTCGCTTCTAATAGAACTAGAGCCTCGCGAAAAAAACGTATGTGCCGTTACAAGTCGCAGCGATTGGTACCCGATTTTAAGGTCTCAGGTTAACCGGTAGCGTCTGAGGTCAGGTCAAAAGACTGAGTTACGAGTTCGGTTTTAAGTCAATAACTTCGCAAAAAAATAACCGCAGAGCCGCGATTTTGGCATCATTTTGTTCGCCTAGCTCAGGTGCGTCGAATGGTAGGTATACTTTTTGTTAGGGTGAGGTCAACTTAAGTAGTTGACCTCGGGTCAAGGTCAGGTCAGAGCCCATCAGGTCACGAAGCTGGGCAAAGGGTATCATATGGTATATCATTCGATTCGGAAGGTCTTCCCGTGTCCATTGGTGGCTTTCCCGACTCTCTAGCTCAATTTGATCGGGAGTTATTGACGAAAAACGCGTATCACCCTAATGACGTCTTAAATGACGTCACGCAAGGTTAATTAACAATGCAAAAGTGAAGCATTGGACTTTGCAAGGAGTGCATGAAATCACGATACCATGTACGTGAGATAGTTTTAGATCATTCTCGGCGCCAAAATAACAGTATTTACATTTCCCAATTGACTTATAACAGTGATGTCACGGGACCGACCTGACCTCATGTGACCTTAAAAAATTCCCAGATATACAAGTTGCAAGACCTCTGGAGGACACCATGTATGCGTCCTGTAACTTTCATCTTGGACAGCTATGGTCATTGGCGTCCAAAACAATGTCAGAACCAAACAGCCTTTTTCACTCTCGCGCTTATAGGAAAGAGGGTTGGATGAACCCTCTTTTCATGTTTTCAGATGACTCAATTGAAATTTCAGTAACCCGTGATGTCACTAGGCAGCTTTACCACGCCATTTGTAAGCTCCCCCTCCCGAAATCACTATTCGAAACCGTTATCGTGACGTATTATAGATTCATTTATAGAAAGAACACCTTCCTACTTTTTTGCATACTTCTTAACAATGAGCCAAATATTTTTTAAAGAAATAAAAATTCAAAAAAAAATTGGTGCCAAGGTCCAAAAATACAAATGAAAGAAAACTCGATATGTCTTATATAAAAAATAGCGTATTTTTCGAAATTTCAAAAGTACATATTAGTTTCTGTTTCATTGCAAGCTCAATGTTATATAACATTTGGCATTTTAATAATACGTCTTAGAGTTATAGCCCGCCAAACTGCGCTGCAAAGCAAGATCCAAAAATGTTATACACCATAGGATCCAAAAATGTTATACACCATAGTTAAAAAAAATACTTATCTGATAAGCCTGAAATTGTTACAGGTGGATTCAGAGCCCCTGATTGCCCCTGAGACCAATTCTCGTCAAATTCCGAGAGATGAGGGTGTCAAATTGGAAAAAGTGGTACGATCTATCATGGAATGCCCCAGCTATCGACTGCTTTTTACCGTGTCTTTCTAGCCCTCTTAGTTTTTAAGCTACAGGTGGGTGGTAACATATGCCCCCCCCCCCCTATGGCGAAGTTGGGTGAGACCGCCACTGGGGCGCGGGTTAACCCGCGCCCTGCTGGGGGGGGTGTTTGAACACCCCCCCTTGTGGTTTTTCGCGAATATCTCAAAAACGGCGGCGCGGAGCGCCGCCGTTTTTGGTATACCTTATCATGCATCAATTCTACACATGTTGTGAAAATTTCAGACCAAGGTCATTCAAGGTCAGGTCACCAGGTCACTTGAAGTGACCTCACCTCATAAAAAGTTTCAATGTCTGTCATAGCTACACCGAGTGACCGATCGCTTTGAAACTTTCAGCGATTGCTAAGAGCAATAGCATGTACAAAATGTATATCTCAGAATTTTGATATCGATGACCTAAGGTCAGGTCAATTTTGCGACCTCCCCATTATAAGTCAATGGGAGAAAATTGAAATGCGCCTCTTTTGGACGAAAGACATTATAAACACTCCCAAACACTGAATTACAAGTGGTTTAGACACACTGAACATGAAAATGGTGTCCGTGACCCCTGTTTATGCCCTGAGGTCATCTTAGGTCACGAATGGCATCTAACAGTTTTTCGCAAATAACTTTTGATAGAGGCATGCTAGAGCGATGAAAACGCCTTAGATGTGTTCAGCTCGACGATACGGATCGACTGATATGCAACATGACCCTTTCCGGTCAGGTCATGATCTTGACCTGAGGTCAAATTTTCAAGTTGACCTTTCAAGGTCAAGTTATAGTTCATTCGATGCGTCTTGACGAGAGGAACACGATGCCGGTAAAAGTAAGCTCGTACAAGGCTTGGGTCAAAAGTTATTGCAGAAAAACGGTTTCCGAAAAAATCGGCTATTTTTGCAGTTTTTGCCCCCTGCAGGCAAAACCGTTGACGTTAGGTCAAATCTGAGAGAATTACTCAGAAAGGGCGCTAATAGGGCTATCGAATGCGCTTTTCCGCGGCGCTGTAGCTCTATTGGTTCCCGAGTTATGCGTTGGCTTCTTGGAAATTGTCGACATTCGACCTGGAAATCGGCGAAATTTTGCCTTCAATGACCTCTGGTGACCTGACCTTTGACCTGACCCAAAAATTGACCGAAGTGATTTCCTCATTATTTTTTACGCTCTTTCGAACGCCGCCTTCCGCGTATCGCTACGTGGCCCAGAAGCCGAGTTAGAAGGGGGGGGGTGTTCAAACACCCCCCCCCCCCCAGCAGGGCGTGGAAATCCAGGACCCCCAGCCGGGCGCGGGTTAATGTCTAAAACATTTTTATGTATCTTTTAAGCTGGCGGATCTGGATTTAAGCTAAGGAGGCGGATCACTTGGACGTATTCGGGAGCCGAAAACGTTGTTTACCTCGTTGCCAATACCTCGGAGACCCTATCCGCCCAATGCGAGTTTTAACCCTCGCCCATGTAGGGGGGGGGGTTAGTGCAACCCCCCCCCCCCTGAGGTTTTTCTTAGCTACACGCCGAACCGTTTCAGATAGCCTGCTCAAATTTTCAGTACCCTTTGGGGCATCCTTTGCGCAACTTTTGGTAAATTTTTTTTGTCAAGGTCATGTCAGGTCACGGAGTTATGACGTCGTAAAGGGAACAGCCTCCGGCCAGATTTACGCTAAATTGGAGATTGCTTCACACTGGTATAAATGCCGACTGACCTGACACACTGATGGATTGTTTTAGAATCACAACTGGCTGATTTGACATTGGCACAATGTCCGTTGACATTTTGAAGGTTACTAAAGGTCAAGGTAAGGTCAGTGACCTCGGTTGACCTGTAATGACTTCTTGCACTTGTATGCCTTTTCGGGGTATTTTGATGCCCTGAATTCGAATTTGCTATCCATTTCAGGCATCGTCGGTTGTTTCTTGTAGTTCATTTTGGGTCAGGGTCAGGTCAGTGACGTCACACGCCTGACGTGACCCAATGCACAAATGACCTTGCAGACTTCCGATGCTCCCAACGCATCATTTTTAGAGTTACGACATCGAAATATACACCAAACGATAGAGAATTGATCAAGGATCACGATAGTGAAGGTTTCAAGTCGATATCTCTTACCGTTTTGGCGCAATCGGCGCGGAAATCTGAAAAAGTTAGATTTTTCCGAAAATTTGACCTTTGACCGGTCATAAGTAGGTCAAATGTTGACCTAGGACCAAAAAATATACCACCAATCGCGAGATCTCGTTGAGAGCAATCCGTTGGTCTTTTCCGCTAAGCTCTACAACGCTCCGTTTTCAAACGCCAGGGGGGGGGGTCGCACCAACCCCGCCCCCTGCATGGGCGAAGGTGGCAAAACACCGTTTACGGGCGAGGGTTAAGAGTACATGCCCAAATTAACGTTGAGGTCGGTTTTCTTCGACCATTTGGCGAAATCGCCTGATTTATTCGACCAGGGTGGACTAATTCGCTCAACTAGGCATAAGGCGTTGAGAATTATTCAAGGAATAGGGCTGTGCAAAAATATTTCTTGTATTGTTACATTACAACTGTATCCGCCCTTGAACGATAAATATTGTTGACTCATCAGAAACACATCCCGTGGAATGCGTTGGGACTTGGCTGGATCTAATGTTAGCGAGTATCTGCTAATGCAGCTTCTTGGCTTGCACAGTATGCACACAAACATACATGCTTCCTGTCCTTGGATTATTCCTCACTTGAATAAAATTTTGCTATAATAACTATTCCAAGCAGTTGACAGGTTTTAGTGCCCTGCAAAGTCGAAACCGTCCCGCGCCGGTGGTCTCCCAGGCGGTGCGTAACGGCCGCCGCGCCGCCGCTCTCGCAGGGTGTTTGACTTTATACCCCTGTTGTTAGAAAAGTTGTGGACCGATTTACTTGATTCTTGCATGACAAGATCCGCCATTCAATTCTTAGCAGGTACCGAAAATTTGACGTCAATCGCACGATCCGCCGCCCATATTGCGGTACTGCCATCTATTGACAAGGCTGGAGAACCAAGGCCGTTCGGCTATTTCCACTTCTGACACACCATGGAAATGAGCGAGTGCCCAGTGCACCGCTTCGTCTCGTTGCGGTGGACGCCGTCCGGTTGGGGGCTCGGTGCCGGCTGCAGCCTTCGGCGCTGGCCCGACCCAGCCCGGCGTCGGGTGCGCTCCGTATAACCCGCTGACCGGCGACCCGCCCACAGGTCAGCGATGCCCGGGCAGGGCCCCTCAGCGCCGACGGCGGCGGCGGCGGCGGCGGCGGCTCGCGGCGACCAACCGGCCGCCGCACAGAACAAGCCAGCCAAGTGCAAGGCGTGCTGCGCCTGTCCGGAGACCAAGCGCGCCCGGGACGAGTGTATCGTGCTGAACGGCGAGGAACACTGCCGGCCACTGATCGAGGCGCACAAACAGTGCATGCGCGACATGGGCTTCAACATCTAGACGGGAGGCGGCGGCGGTGTCGTACCACCCGGGCGGCGGTGTCGCGCCACCCGGGCGGCGGTGTCGCGCCACCCGGGCGGCGGTGTCGCGCCACCCGGGCGGCGGTGTCGTGCCACCCGGGCGGCGGTGTCGCGCCACCCGGGCGGCGGTGTCGCGCCACCCGGGCGGCGGTGTCGCGCCACCCGGGCGGCGGTGTCGCGCCACCCGGGCGGCGGTGTCGCGCCACCCGGACGGCGTGGATCGGTGGTCGGGGTACAGGGAGCGCAATGGACGAGTTTTGCCTGTGCGATAAAGACACAAATAGTACATAGGTATGTATTGATTGTTGTGCTGTTCATATGGTTAACACGATAAAAAACGACCCCAAGATGTCTTCGACGACGCAGAAGCACCGCAACTTCGTGGCGGAGCCGATGGGCGACAAGCCGGTCACTGCTCTGGCTGGCATCGCCGAAGTCAACGGCTAAAAGCTGGTGGCCAACGATTCGACAAGGCCTACATCGTGCTGGGCCAGTTCCTCGTGCTGAAGAAGGACAAGGAGCTGTTCGTGGAGTGGCTGCAGGACCTGATTGGGTGCAACGTCAAACAGGCCACCGACTGCTGGCAGTGTCTGGACGACTGGTGCGCAGAGCTGTTGTAGCACGTTGGAAAAATTAGAAGTGTCTGTTCGTAATTGGCATACGTGTCAACGCTCCGAATGATATCTTAGGAGCATTCGGGCCTGTGCGCTCTCTTCCATCCCCGTCAAGTTGTGCGACACGTGTGCGCCTTCAGTGGATAACATTTAACAATGCAATCGAGGTATTGATTCTTTCGTTAGCGCGTTCATGCGCCGATGCGTTAGTGCCATCGTGTTACTGGTGAATGGTGATGCTGCGAATCGCCCGAGACGCGGCGCTACAGTGCTCTCGCATACCATCGCTATGATGCCCTCCCTCCGACCTCTGGCAGGCCTGGGGAGCGCCAGGGGCGCCCCTCCCCTCCCGATAGCTGTTGCAAGCCCGAGGAGCGGCGCGTCGCCGCGCCTTCCGGCAGACGGTGGGCCGGCCAGCGGCTGTGGCCTTCAGGGATTGGCCGACGCGGCGGTGATACGATCGCGTCGCGCACTCTTTGTTGCGGTGTTTACGAAAATGGTTTGAATAAATGTGTTGCATGGATGAAAACAGTAGCCTTTGGGCGACAACAGCGAACGGGCAGGGGAGACTGGGGCAAAGTGGCCACCCTTAACACGCGCACCGACGGGGGGGGGGGGCGGATATCCGCCCCCCCTGAGGTTTTTCGCGAATAGCGGGAAAACCGCGGCGCGTACGCGAAATTTGGTACGACTATTCGCTCATCAATTTTACACATGGTGTGCAAGTTCGAACCTCCTAACTTTTAAGGTCAGGTCACCAGGTCACTTTGAATGACCCAACCTCAAGTTACTTTTTTGCAACTTTGTCACCGTGCCAGAGCTACAATAGATGTCGGAGGCCTTCGAAAGTCGCAGGATGTTATAAGGTCATTAGTAGCTACAATTTGTATATCTCGGAATTTTTATATCGATGACCTAAGGTCAGGTCAATTTCTCGACCTCCCCATTATAAGTCAATGGGGGAAAAATCAACTCCCTGTTTTTACCACTAAAACGGGTCGGAACGGCCCCATAAACCATACGTGACCTCATATACGAGCAACCTTCACTACATTGAGGTCTGTTTTGCTGTTGGGCAGCTGTAAGGTCATGTGACATCAAAAGGTCACCAGCGGTTTTTTTTTTACAATAACTCCGTACAGGAACAAGATACAGCCGCGCGGATGGTCTCATTGTGTTCAGCTCGTCAAGGCGCATCGAATGATATACATGATGACCTCGAGGTCACGTGACCTGAGGTCAACCTATGACCTTGACCTTTCGAGGTCAACATATACATCATTCGATGCGGATTGACGAGAGGATCACGATGATGCCCTTAGTTTGTTCTTATGTTGACTAGTTCGAAAGTTATTCGAGAAAAACTCCCTATACCTAGCGTCGCCATTTTGACTTTTTTGACCCCTGTGACGTCATCTTTGACCTGACCTGAAAATGACCTTAGTAAAAATTGTAGACCTTGTCCGTGCGTATCCCTTGCCGTTTACCGCTTGTCGCTATCTCGCTTCGTTCTCGAGATCTCAGGGGGGGGGCGGTCATCCGCCCCCCCCCGTCGGTACGAAGTTGGCGCAGACCCCCGTCGGTGCGCGGGTTAAGGTCTAGCTACACTATGCGGGATCCTACGTCCGTGATCTGAGAGTTTGCGGGTTTTGCAGAAAATCGGTACGCAGGTCAAGTTCAGCTGATAAAAATTACACAGGGTCGGCTACACTGGGGTCACGCAGATTCAGTCAAGGAAATCCCGGACGTTCAGTATAGGAAATGCCGGATAGTCAGGACGGTCAGAATGTTCCGTACCGATATAAAGTTCAGAGCTACGAACTTTTTTGCAGAATCTGCGAGATTGCGTGATATGAGACAGTTGTTGGCGCACTTGGTGGCGCACCGTATGAATCCAAGTGACGTAATTAATTATTATTTCTTTACTTTTAATGTGTTATTGATGTTTTATTAAAGGTAGACTGCCACCTTTTTTCCACAAAACGGTTTTCACTAGAGCTGAGCCACCTATGTCCCAGACTGAAGTCGGTTTTCCGAAATTCGAACCCGTTTGCGAGAAATCGGAGACCAAAGTTTAGTTTGATGCCATTTTTTTAGTCCAAGAAAACCGACATCTCTACTGTTTATCGATAACTTTGAAACATGAATTTTCTTATCTTTTGGTAAATATATGTCAAAACTTTGATTGTTTCGAGATCAGAGAAGAATTTTGAAGTGTCAAAATAAAAGTTAAACTTATATATTCAGTAGTTCATTTTTTCCAAAAAAGTGTGGGAAATGGGGTTTAACATGGGCCAGACCCATTCCAAATGAGCCATGATTTTTAAATGTTTTACGAACTTAAATGCAAAATAAATTAAACATGGCCAATTTCTTATGAAATCATATATTAGTAAATCATAAAATACCTTACTTTTTCAAATAAAATGTAATAATCTTATGACCTTGAAGTCTAGTGATGTGTAAACATTGTCGCTAGACATTAACCGATTGATAATTGTATGATAATCGACATTTTTTTTCGCGATTCACGTGATGATACTTTGTCAGGTGAATTCTAAAATTTTGTTTTGTCCAGGGAATAAATCATAGGCCGATCTGAGAAAACTTTTTGAAGGTGGCAGTCTTCCTTTAACAAAATAAACAATTTATCGATACAATAGTATAGAAGATAGCAAACTTTAGCGTTTGTTGCGAAACCATTTATTAGTTATTATAACGTCAGCATACAATAATTCACGGAAATTCTGGAAAAACGCAGAAACCGATGTCAAGGGAGTCTCGCAATCACCTAATTTCATTGACCTCGAGGTCACCGATGACGTCACAGGTCACGTCAAAGTAAAAATTATTAGCATTTTGGCTTGTTCACGTTTTGGGCTCTGGCCGCCGCGCCGTCTTACAAGTCAGATCAGGCTCATTTTTGGTTCACACTCGTGAACAGATGCTCTAGATACCCTGAGGGTACCAAACTTGTACTTTGATTTTCAGGTCAAGGTCAAGTCATCACAGGTCACGAAAATATTATATCATGCGTCGGTCACGTGACACATGTTCTATGGTCCATTTAGGCCAAATATTTCGAATTTGATGTCTGTGTCATTCGAGGTCATTTTGAGTCGAATTTAGCTTAGGTCAGGTCACTTTCAGGTCAAAAAAGGTCAAATTTTGAAGTAAGAATTTTTCAACAAAAAAGGTGTCTATTGGATGCAGTTTGAGCTCAGGAACATGATGGTGCTATTTATATTGGCGTACGATGTTGAATACGTGCTGAAAAATTGATTTGAAAAATTAATAATTGTGATTTTTTTTGCAATAGTGCGTATAACTTGGCCATTTTTGAAGATGTTTAGCAAAAACTTGCTAGAGTTGGTCAAAATAATGCGTTCTATCATATTTTTTCCGTTTTTACGAAAAGTCAAAAACTTTTTGAAAAAATGTAAAAATATAAATTTTGAATTTTATTATATTAAATTTTCGAAATTTTCAAAATTTCGAAAATCCGAGATAGCAGTTTGATAGCGCAGTCTATTCTGAGCCCTTTTATGCAAATAAATTGGATCTAGCTTAAAAAACTGAGCTCTTGGGAGCGATTGCCGTGGTTCAATGTATTGCGTCGAAATCGGACTAACATGACGTCACTCTGACGTCATTTCCGGCCGACCTATGGTAGCTACGAACTACGAAGTTCATATTTTGACACAAGGTGTCAAATTGATGCAGCCGAAGGTACCTACTGAAATTTGGCGTCGATACGTCAAGCCGTTTAGAAGTTATTGCAGAAAAACGGGAGGGGCCTTAATAGCTCTCCCTCCCCCCCCCCCCAGTGGGGCGCGGGTTAATAACGATCGATGAACATTTTTCTAGTTAAATCTACCTCCACTCTTATAATTAAAGTTCATTTTATTGGAACAAATTACGGTTTTCCTGACCCCTGCAAAATGTTCATTTAGGCACAGCATGCCCTAATTGCGCCACGTGAAATTATGCATTAAAGAACCATGCAAAGTTAGCCCTTTTACTGGCAAGGGCGATAATGTTCCCCTGAATGTCTTTATTGGTCAGTACGGGCCCCTCAGACCTTCTGGGGTCAAACTCCGGCTTCTAACACCAATTTTTGAAAGACCACTTTTATAACATTATACGATAACATTGAAAGCCTCGACGTCTTGACATAGCCCTAAATGCGCCCTTGCCATGGCGCATTTTGTGTGGGCGCAATTCGGAATGTGTCATATGGTGTGACGTCACACATGTGACACCCCTGTCTCCTTCAACGACTTTACCATTTTAGGCAGCGAGCCATCACATTCTCTCAGGATCTTGGAATCACTTTTCATCCATCAACTGAAGCCAAGGCTTAATGGCACAACATCGGCATATCCCCTGTCTGTTGTCAGGTAACCTTGCTTACATTGGATAGCTCTTCATGTTATTGACCTTTTATCGATCGCGCCCTGTAGGACCACATGTATGTTTAGCGTGTGCACCAACTGTATATGTGTAGACGGGTCTCGCCTCGCCACCCCGGCTCCGACACGCAAGCTTCACAAGAGAGCTTATATTGCACCACCACCGCACCGCTCGTGCCGGCCGCCAGGACTCCCCGACACAAGAGCGACAACAAACCGAAGAGACATCGGAAACTTAGGTACTAGGGCTGCAACTAAACAGAAACTAAAGTAACAGCCCCGTAGATAATTATGACAATATCAAATAAATACTTAACCCGCGCACCGACGGGGGGGCGGATGTCCGCCCCCCCTGAGGTTTTTCGCGAATAGCGGGAAAACCGCGGCGCGTAGCGCCGCGAAATTTGGTATGACTATAACCTCATCAATTTTACACATGGTGTGCAAGTTTGAACTTCCTACCTTTTAAGGTCAGGTCACCAGGTCACTTTGAATGACCCAACCTCAAGTCACTTTTTTGCAACTTTGTCACCGTGCCAGAGCTACAGTAGATGTCGGAGGCCTTTGAAAGTCGCAGAATATTATTAGGTCATTAGT